GGTTCTTAAACCTTTCATAATTATTAGCATCATCTGGAAAGTTTTTGAAAAACACAGGCGTTTGGGTTTCAGAGTTAGCCTACCGAAACAGTCTTTGTAGGTGGAGCACAAACAGAACTTCCCAAGTGAATCAGATGATTAGCCACTTTGGGGAAACCTCAGATTGAGAAGTGCTCAGACTGACAACTTTTCACAGATTTACCCCAAAACACAATAGGAAGAATAAAACAGACCTTTTGTACGAAATGGATTTTTGGTACATTGCAGTGGCAGGGGGCAGTCACTACCTGCTGATTGTGATGCTCTGCACCCCTCCTCTCTTCCTCTATAGTTGCTGCTCTGTGTGTCTGTGACTTGTCTCCAGAACAGTGTGATGTCAACTGCTGTTGTGATCCTGATTGCAGCTCCACGGATTTCAGTATCTTTTCTGCCTGCTCAATTCCAGTTGTCATGTAAGTTTGTGACACATGCAGTTTTGATAAAATTGGACCAAGATTATAGAATCTGGAGACAGAAAGTGAAAAATTCCCCAGGCTGAAAAACCCAAACCTGATTTCCTGAATTTTACATCATTCAGAAGCCATGCTGTCCAAACCAATGCATAGGAGAGTGTCTATCCCGTATTTGCGTTAGCTAGATGATAGTGCAGGCAAAAGAGAGACAAAGAGTATAATGAAATCTTTGTGTTCATAGATTGAATTGCATTTCACTTTGATTTGTAAACAGATAATGTGTTACATTTTTGTGTCAATGAATTAGTCTCATGTATAGCATAGGGTGAAAAGTGCAGTTTAATTTTACAGCTTTTGTTGTAGACATAATACTTGTAACAGAAAAATTAAATAGTCAGGAAAGCTTTGTTTATACTTTCTTGACTTACAAATCTACCAGAAATTCTCATTCGCATTGTGTAGGAGAATAATGGAAAATGACATTCCCAGTCAGGAATCCCTTCTAAATTATCTGTGTCTCGTAATTCAGATTTGAAAGCTTTTGGATAAAATAGCGGCCCTTAGAAGAGGTTAATTTATTCATGATGGGACCAACTTATTACTCAGAGACAGCTAATTTAAATTGAGCCTTGTACCAAGTTGCAGCAATTGATACTTGATAGGTTGAATGCCTTTTTGGAGGTGCAGTGTATTTTTCCCATGGGAAATTATTTCACTGATCAATGGGAAATTGAGTCTGCTTCTGATACTGTAAAAATGCCTGGAGCATGGGATGTTATAGTCAGATGATTTTTGCGGCTACCCGGACTGCATTGTGGTTCAGTCTCTGCTGAAAGTCATTCTGCTTTCCTGCTTTAGTAAGTACTAGGAGACTGAGAGTGAGATTTTTGCTCCAATTTGAGACCATTATTTAGAATATAATTTTTTAAAAAAATCAGCCAGTACTGCAATTTTAGATACAGACTATTAGAATGTGGGTCAGCAAGCTTTTTCTGTAAAAGGCCACATAATAAATATTTTAAGCTTTGCAGGCCGTATGGTCTCTGTTGCAGCTTCTCAACACTACCATTGTTGAGCAAAAGCAGGCATAGGCTGTATGTGAATGAAAGGGCATGACTATGTTTCAGTAAAACTGATTCACAAAATTAGGTGTGGTTTCTGGACCACACCTAATTAGGTTTAGAAGTTGTAGCTGAATCCATAGTGCCCTCAAGAAAGGACCTCAGAATTTCTTTGAGTTAGTTTTGTTTGTGACTTTCTCCTAAATATGAAAGTGTAGAAATAATGAAATCAAAACTAATACTGCTAATTGAGTGTTCTTGCTGTGTAGATTCTAATTCATAAAAGGTATGTTTCATTTGCTGAACTGTCATTAACTAATCCTATCACCTAGTAAATTGTAAACTTAATGTAAAGATTATTGGATTAATGTCTGTTTTCCTTATTAGGTGTAAGCATCATAGTAACAGTGATCTCTCTTACCTACTACGTTACCACTAGTGCCTGGCACAGCTCCTGCCACATAGTTCGCCCTCATCAAAAATGAGTTGAATGGATGAAATTTCTCTCCTCCACCCCTGACTGATTCTCTAGTATCCCCTTTTGACTTTCTCTACCATTGTTCTTTCAGGCCAGAAACCAGGAGGCTGTCCTGACTCCTGCCTCTTCCTTGTTTTCTCATATCTAAGCCATCTTTCGCACCTCACCATGACTTTCCTGAGCTCCTCCTCTGTGTCAGTGGGGATTTAAAGATGAGTTAGACATGGTCCTGCCTTCAAAGAGAGAGCTTTTTGAATAAGGGAGACAGATGAGTGGATGGCAGTTTCTGCCCGAGGCGCTAGGAGAACTCAGAGGAGGGGTATCCACCCCAGATAGTTGGACTGGGGAAGGCCTTCTAGAAAATACCTGAGCTGAGCTGGGTCCTGAAGAACAGGTAGAAGTTGGCGAGCACAGAATCAGGAAGGGCATTCCAGGTGGAGGGAGTGCACGGGAGCGTCCTGGGGATGAAGGAGTATAGCCCATTGGCTGCACTGCAGGTGACTTAGCATGGCTAGGGCAGGGCAGAGCAGGAGAGGCCTGGGGAGGTGGCAGAGGTCAGATCCTGAGGCCTTGTGTGTATGCTGAGGGGTTTGGATTTTTCCTGAATTCTTCAGGGGGCCAAGAAGTGAGGGAATCAGATTCCCAACTTAAATTCTGCAGTAGCATGGACAGTGGATCACAGGGGCCAAGCCTGGTGGCAGGGAACCAAGTAACAAGCTATGGCGAGTGAGGATTAACAGATGTGTTCCTCCTCTCCCTGAAGGTTGTGACAGTGGGACTAGAGGGACATGTGCAGACCTGCTACTGATATGCTGCACAGGATTAGAGACCTGGCTGACCAGAAGGGGAGGAGTAAGGAGTCCCCTCCTGCTGAGTCTTCCTCCATGATTGCCCTCATGTCTGTCCCTTCCTGTTCCCTTTCTCTTCATAAGCTCACACCTCATCTTGTCACTCACTTGCTAAAGAATCTTCAGAAACTCTATCACCTACAGAACCCATAACCTGGATTCAGATCCATCCCAACCTCTTTCAGATCTAATTTCTTCCTAACCCCATCTTGAATCCTCCATCCAGCCCAACTTTAGTACTCAGTTTTCCAAACACCATCACTACATCCTTGGCCAGTGCCGTTCGTGCACGTGGATTAGTCTCCCAGTCCCTTTCTGTCTGACTCCTACTCATCCTTTAAGGCCAGTAGGACTCATAGATTTTTCAGTGCTGGATCTCTTCTTTTAAATACTACTCATAGTTTTTCAAAACTATTCTTTATGCACATGGTAACAGCTGATAATACCACTAGAACTATATAGAGCATTTGGGAAAGAGGCCAGTTATAAAATAAAGCAATACCCCAGCAGTAACCATTGAAAAAATATAGTGGAAATGCTTCTACTCATAACACCAATGAAATATAACATAATGAGAATTAAACTTAACTACTCAGAATTTATGTGAAGAAAACTTCAAAATATAGTGAGACAAAACATTTGAATAAATGTAGAGATAGTCTGTGTAGTGGGATGGGAAGAATCGTCACATAAACATCCAATTTATTATAATGTAATTCCAGTCAGATGGAGACGGAAAGTGTCAAACGGACTCTAAAATTCATCTGGAAGAATAAATAGATGAGAACAGCCAAGATGTTACCGAGTAGGAAGCACAAACTACCAGGTTTCAAACATATTATAACACTGCAGTAAAGACGACAACGTGTATTGATTCAGGACATACAAGTAGATCGTTGGTGAGATTAGAAAGGCCAAAAATCTGTTGTGTGTACTGATTTTACACACAGCTGATTTTTTTTAAAGTATTACAGTTTTTTATTATTTATATATTTAATGTAAGTATGGTATTTCACATCTGTGGAGTAAAGGTTGGATCATTTAGTAGATGATGTAGAATGATTATTGAAAAGTAGAAAACATTAGATTACTGCTTCATAGCATTATACCAAAGTAAATTATCAATAGATTGAAGAATGAAATGTTAGAAAATAATGAATGAATGAATGGAAGATATAAGCAAACATTTATTAATCTTGGATTCGGGAATGTCTTTTAAGCATAAACCCAAAGGCATGCCATAAAAGAAGATTGGTAATGTCATTATTTTAAAAATCATTTAATACCTCAAAAAAGGAATTATGATTAAAAAAAAAGTTAAAACTTCTGTGTGGCCAAAAACACCATAAAACTGAAAGGTTAAAAAACTGGGAAAAAGTATTTATAGCACTCAAAAGAGATTCTTAAAAATACGGGTTCTTTTAAGTCAATGAGAAGACAAACATCCTAATAAAAAATGGCCAACTTACTGGGAAGAAATACCAGTGAGCATATTTTCCATATGGAAGAATATTTAACCTCTCTAGTAAATGAGGAAAATTCAAATTAAAACAATGAGGTAACAGATTTTTGCCCATGAAATTGGCAAAGGGTAAAAACTGACTGATAGTATCCAATCTTGGCAAGAGTATGGGAAAATAGTCACTTTTGTTACTACAGCGTTGGGAGAATGCATCTTGCCTTTTTGGAGGGCAATCTGGAGTATGTCTCAGACACCTAAAATTATGTACTTGCCTTTTGACCCAGAAATTCCACTTCAGGAGATACAGCCTAAAGAAATAACTGGAGACATTAATAAAATGTACATACAGAGATGTCATTATAGCATCATATAAAATCACAGAAAATTAGAAACAGCCTAGATCAATGGTAGAGGATTGGTTAAAAAAATTGGGAATATCTTAATAAATTGATACACAGTGATGCCATTTAGTATAATAATACAAAAATGCATTTGATGACATGGAAAATATTGGGCATATTTCCTACATATATATATACTACATATTAGGTGAAAAAGGGCTTCAAAGCAGTATGTAGTATAATCTTCTTTTGTTATATTTCTATGTCTGTAATATATCTGTATCTGATATCAAATTGATTAGGGTTTGTTAAGTATAGGATTGGTTGAAGACTTGACTATACCATAACTTCCAGGCCCCTGAACTTCCTGATTTTACATTTTCTCATTTTCACTGTCCTTTGTGAAGACAGCTTTATTCTAAAGACAAGGAATTTTTGGATCCATTCAGGGTAATTATAAATAGTCTGAAGTTCTGCAAAATTTTATAAAATTGATTCTATCAGAGTTTGCAAGGTTCATTTACATCAAAATTATACCCCAATCTATATTTCCGTACTTGACAAGATTTCCTTAAAGGTTATTCATTGTAGTTGTCTTTATATTTTCCCTGTTGGATGAAAAAAATTTCAAAAGTCAAACATTTTAGCACTGAATAAACGAAATAAAAATGGATTCAATTCTAACATCACACTTTCATAAATATCCTCCATGTAGTTGTTAACACAGTACAGTGCAAGCATCTGACAGTTTCAAAATAATCTTACTAAGATTGTGTGCATATGCCTTAAAACTTCGTATTATTATTTTTTTAATTTTCAGGGGTGATAGTCAGTTTTGTAGTCAAAAAGCAGCCATCTATTCATTGAATTTTACAGCCGACCCACCTCAGAGAATATTTAAACTTGTGGAGCAGATCAACCCATCTATTTTCTGCATTCATATTACAAACTGTAAGTATTTGATGGTGATATACTTTGTGAAACTCTGAAAATTTTTTCTTTTAAAAGTTCTTTCATAAACAAGATTATACTGTATAGCACAGGGGAAAATATACAAGATCTTGTAGTAGCTCACAGCGAAAAAGAATGCGACAAAGAATATATGTATGTTCATACATAACTGAAAAATTGTGCTGTACACTAGAAATAGACACAACTTTGTAAACTGAGTATAACTCAAAAAAAAAAATTCTTTTATGGGAAAATGTCCCATTCAGTTAGATTTAAAGCAAATATTCTATGGTTTGGCTAGAGTTTATCTTCTGAGGCCATTCCACAGACAACTGCAAGTAACTTTATAGATCTGTGGCATGCACATTTTCCTTAATTGTGCTATGTGGTTGTCTTTTGGAACCTCATAGTGTATTTCAAAGGTGTTTATAATATGTGGACATGCATAGGAATCTAGATTTATTTAGGTATGTGGGTTTTTTTTTTTTTTTTACTTTATTTCCTCCTGGTTGAATGGTTGAGAATCACATTCAGGTTTCAATTTCCTTTTTTCTCTTTTATTTTTACTAAGAATATTTGCATGAAAACAGGATGTTTATTTTTATCTGAGCACTTGGCTCAGTTAGGTGTCAAAGTACATGTAAGTGTAAAATGTTATCAAGATATCAAAAATCAGAGACACACGGTTTTATCAGTTAAACTTTATCATCTTTTTAGAGTGTCTTTATATTTTAGTCTTGTTCCCTTGCAATTGAAAACATAGGCAAATGCTCTGTGATTTGTAATCTGAGGTAATGACTGGTCAGTCATTGTCGTGTTCTCTAACATAACAGGCCCAGGGAACACACCAGCGCATTCCCTACTTCTCCTTCTCACGTACACAGCGTATTATTCTCCTGGGCTTTGGAGGTGGCTGTGTGAGGGTAGAAACAGGATCTTTCTTTCCCGTAGCCTTATGGAGAGAGTTTCCCCTTAGAGGTTTATGCAGCAGATGTCACAGTCCATGAGCTGGAGAAAGAGACTATTACTGGCTTCTCTTATGCTGTTTACCTGTAGGCTTTAGAAACTTGCTTCTATGATGTTAGAAAAATAGGCCTGTCTGGGGATCCTGTTTATTTAATAAGATTCAAAAAATCTTGAAGGAAGTGAATATAAAAAGATCCGCTTTAATTTTTTCATATCGGCCTTAATGCTTCTAGAAATTGTTTCCAAAATACTATATATGTTATACATAATATACTTATTACATTTTGTACTGATATAAAATACTTTTTCTAAAAACAGATAAACCTGCATTATCCTTTATTAATCCAGAAGTGCCTGATGAAAACAATTTTGATAAATTGATGAAAACATCTGATGGTTTTTCATTGAATGCAGAATCAGATGTTTCTTTCACAGACAAACCGGACGCTCCAAATTCTGCAAAATATGAGGTGAGTCAAGGATTTTAAGTGTACTCATTCCGTTGCAAATGCCTGTCCTTGTAAGTTAACTTTTCGCCATGTTCCCAGCAAAACCATCTTCCCTGAGACAGAATTCACATCAGAGACTAAAAAAACTTAATTGTTTGTGCCTATAAATCAAAGATCATTAAAGTTAAAATTGTGTAGTTGAATTCTAACATAAGGTTTCGAGTCATTTATTCTGTGGTAAGCTTGCATTTGTCTCTGTGGAATTCTTTGTTCTTCTCCGCCTCAGAAGATGCAGCAAAGTGCTTGCGGCGTGCTGCTGGGAACACGGGGTGGATGGGCTGGTGCCTGCCCCTCTTCTCAAAGCTGTGTGTAGTTTTATAGACTTTGGGAAGATGTGTGCTATTTGTTAACCATTTCTTAGTAAACCTTTAAAAATGGTATACGTTAACTTTTACTAAACCTCAAAAATTTTGGAAGCATCTTTTTAAGAGAGAAGTGTAAAAGCAATGTGTGCAAATTCTGGAAGTTAAAGGTATAGAGGTACATAAGTACAAATGGAAAGGCCCCTTTCCCCATTAAAATGTACATTGCAAATCGCTGTTAACACCTTGGTGTATATTCTTGGCTTTTAAATGCATCTATTAAAATATACACATAGTATTGTGCCGAAGCGGGGTTTCCAGTTATCTACATTGTTCTATAAACATCCTTATTTGTTCAGTGATAAATTTTATGCACCTTCCCACTTCGCTATAAAAATTACCATTTCTTGAGCATTTTCCATGTGCCAGGCACTGTGCAGAACTTTTCAGACATTACTGCATACAACCGTGGGAAGTGTATGCCATTTAAGTGATGAGGAAAACCTAGGTATAGGCAAGAGCTCGTGTTGGAGCTACACTTTACTGATGCAAAATATTCCTTCCGTGGATGTATCATTTATTATTGAGCCATTCCACTATTTGATAGACTATTATAAATAACCCAAATAAACATTCTTATAAATACATGTATCTTTATCTGATTAAATCCTTAGGATATATTCCTAAATAAATGGGCTACCTTGGTCAAAATGAATGGGAACTTAAAACATCGATACCGGATTGACCTCCATAAAGACTGCAGGAGTTTATAGTCCCAGCCCCAGGGAAGGAGAGAGCTTGTTTCTCCCTTGCTGGCACTTAAGTCAGCTTTTTATGTACCCTTCCAGAGGAATTCTAGAATAAAAAAGCCTGCAAGTACAGTAGCATGCACACACACAAAATACATCCTTAAAAGGAAAAGGGTGGGGCAGCTAGATGTGAGCTCTATGCGGGCAGGGACCGCATCTGTGTTTTGCTCATCCCTGTGTTCCCGGGGCCTTCACTGCTGCCAGGCACGTAGTAAGTGTCCAGTAAGTGTTGAACAGATGCGTAATAGCAATGTGACAGCTGTTGGTTGTTCTGTTTGCAGTATGGGGTTTGTCTGCAGACTTCAGATTCATTTTTGAGATTTCCTTCTCCCCTTACATCATCTTTCTGCAGCGATAATAACCCCGCAGGTAAGAGAATGGGCTTTTTTTCCTCTCTGCAAAGAGTTTGCTCTTAGTTTAAATGTATAGTAATCATAATTAAACAGGCTTCATAGCTAGAAACAGAGAGTCTTAGGGTTGAAAGAGCCTCCAAGGTTGATAAATATAGTTGAGTTTCCCACCCAGTGCGAGAATCTTTTTTCCCATGTGCAGTCATTGCTTGAGCACTTGTAGTGATGGAGAACTCGCTACCTGCAACCGTCCCATTCAGTTGTTCAGCTTTTCCAGTTGTTGGAAAGTTCTTTACTCACTGGAGCTGAAAGTTGTCAATAGCTAACATTTATTAAGCACTTACTGTGTGCTGGGTATTGTGTTAAGTGCTTGCATGTGTTTTTCCATTTAATCCTTACAGTGATCCTCTGAGGGAGGGTTATCTTCATTTTTTAGATCAGGAAACTGAGAAACTTGCAGTTTTTTGCTCAGGCTCACTCAGGCTGTGGTGGGTCCTGCTTCTCCTTTCAGGAGCATCATCCAGTCCGGGGAGTAACCCTCTTGACAGTAGAAGGCAGCAGGCATGGCTCTCCAGTCCTTAGCCAGCCTCACTGTGCAGAAGCCTGCTAAGCCAGGGTGAGAGCATGTGGCCTAATGAAGCTGTACTTGATACATGAAGGAAAACGAGGTCTGTTGAAAAGATGTTTAACCTTGCTCACACAATAGGAACAGTGTCAGTTAAAGCCAAACTGAAGTATCATTTCCACCTAATGGATTGGCAAAGTTCAAGAAATTTAAGGCTGTGGAGAAGTAGGCACTCATCTGTATGGTTTGTGGGACTAAAAATTGGTACAACCTCTGTCAAGAGCACGTGTGCAATATGTATCAGAATTACAAATGAATATGCCCTTTGACCCAGCTGTTCTACATCTAGGAGCTGGTCCTACAGAAGCTCTGGCCCACGTGCAAAACAATAGATTGCAGCTTTGTCTGTGATGGCAAAGCTGGAGACAACTTAAGTGTCTGCTGATAGGGAACTGGTTGAATAAATTATGGCATGTCTGTAATAGAATACTAATTATCCCCAAAGAAGGGAGGAGGAGGCTCTTCATGTACTCGGATAGACAACTCCAAGGCATTGCTCAGTGGAAAAAAAACAAAGGGCAGAACATATAGTTTATGTTTGTTTTCTGAAGGGGAAAGAAATACTGATGTGTCTGTGTGTGTGTATATCCTATACACACACACACACACACACATGGATCTGCATAGGATCTTTCCAGAAAGATACACAAGAAACTTCATGCCGATTGTCTCTGGGGGAGAGAACTGGTAGGAGCTGGGGAGCTGGGGTTGAAGGGAGACTTCTCTCAGCATCAGTTTGAATCATGTATTACATATTGGGAAAATAATTTTTTAAACCCTATCCTAACCTTGTTGTATAGTCTGTGCCGTAACTTATTTTGTGGTTTTACTTACATTACAATTTTTTAGTTACTGTCGGGCAGTTGCAATTTTTTTTTTCTTTTTTTTTTTTCTTTCTTTCTCTTGGGAATGTTACGATTTCCAGCATTTCTGGTCAACCAAGCTGTTAAGTGCACCAGAAGCATAAGTTTGGAACAGTGTGAAGAAATTGAAACCCTGAGCATGGCTTATTACAGCAGCCCTAAAATTTTGAGGGTAAGAATTATTTTGAAGTGAAACTGATTCATTAGGTTTGTTTTCTGTTCTTTGTACCTTTTTAAAATATGACAAGAGGAGAAGAATTTCAGTACATGATTGACACTCAAAGCAAAATTTTTCTTCTCCAGTTCTTTGGTATGATACCAAAGATTTTGAAATAGTCGCTTAAATTAATTTTTATTTTTATATAGTTAGCTCATATTTTGCTTTCATTCATTTTTTTCATTTTGATGGTAACCGATAGTCTCCTGAATTAAAAAAAAACTTTATTAATAACCAAAGACTTCAGAATTATAAAAACATCTTAATGTCTGTCACAGAAATGATCCTATTAGCACCAAAAAGGTATCTTTCTGGTTGGCAGATGAAATAAGCACCCAGGAAAGGACAGGAAATAGAGTTACTGGGGAAGGGAAAGGCCCTGGTGTGAAGAAAGGCCCTTCTTTCTGGTTACAGTGACTGAAGCCTGAGCTGAATAGATGAGAGAGGCCGCTGGCCCACTTTGGTGGATAACGTGGAGGGTCACAAGGGGAGAAGACATTTTTCAGTGATTAAAACCTGTATGATTATTGCAGAAGCCCCCTCCTTTCCTGATTTCCTTTATCTGAGGGGTGTGTCGGGGCAGCGTGGCCCATGGCACCTGCACCCATCTGACCTGCGGTTTTCAGAATCACGTTTAGCCTTTTCCTCTTCCCTCCCTTTCCCTCTCTCCTCACAGTCAGCCGTCTGGGTCTGAGAATTCTTCCAGTCCGCCTGACTTCCCACAGTTGTCCTGGGAGACATGCAGTCCCTCAGTCCCTTCCCCCACCCCCAACCACATCCACTCTCCCCCTCCCACCCAGAGCTCCCTAATAGGAGCTTTGGCCTAATAGAGTGTCTTGTGATTAAGAAGTGGGTCTGGGGGAGATGGGGACAGGAAATGAAGGGAGGTTGAGCCCTTCAGAAAGAGCTCCAGCTGTGTAGGGGAGGCAGGAGCTGGGCATCGGGGGTGGTGGGTGGGGAGTTGAGCCAGAGGCAGGAAGACCAGTTAGGAGACTGTGGAAATCACCTGGACAGCGATGCTGTCCTTCCAGTGACAGCAGGCACAGTGCAGGTTACCAGGGGGATGGGAGCCATGTTTTCCCTCCAGTGTTACGTCACTGATGATCGCATGGAAAATACTGAACAATTCCACAGATGCACGGAGGCTTCCTGAGACTAGCTATGTTGGGCTGGTCTGTTAAGCTTCCGATCTGCAGGAAATGAATATAGAAGGGAAAATGTACACAGATACAGAAATACGTAGGTGGCAAGTCTGTTTTCCTTTTTGAGAAGCCTTTATTTAATAAGAAGAATATGCCCTTTAGCCTACGGTCTGAAGAAGCAATAAAAATGCTTCTTTTTGTTGTATTTAACAAAATGTGCTGTTTCTTTTTGTCTAGGTGCCTAATTCAGGAACAAAGGTAAGACTACTTCTTAATGGAATTATTGTCTTGTTTTTGAGCCCTTTGAAGTGAATACACTTATGATTAGAAGGGTACCTTACTGCCAGTAACAAAAACATTTGCCAAAAAGCAACCAGAAATGAAATGGGCAAACTCCTTAGCAGGCCACCCTTTTATCACAGAAGGGTCAGATTTTCAAATTCCTCTATTTTTTGTAGTGCACACTTGTTCATGTTTAAATGACATAGCTGTCTTGACTGACAGTGGGTGTGATTGGCTTCTCTGCTTTCAGGGCATCCTTTGATGTCTTCCTGGTCTCTTGTCAGGAGAGCTGGCCAGCTCCCAGGCTGCTGTCCGTCCAATGTAGAAGATAGAAACGTTTTGCACAGGGAATGTGCACACCTGTGTAGGAGCTGAGCACTCTCAGGGTAGCTTCTGGGCTTGAGTTGCAGGTAGGTTCTGTTCAAAGCATTATTGTCCCGGCCTGGGGACTCTAGGGCTGAAGTCAGGAGGCCAGGGTCCCTTTGCGGATGCGTCAGAGAGAAGGATGGTGGATCTATGTCTCATTTTTGGATTTGCACCCTGTGCCTGCCTTGCATACAGCTCCAAAGAGGCCCAGGGCAATGGCCTTGTCAGAGTCTCCCAAAGCCTGTGGAATTGGTTGTTCCTGGTTCAGGACTCAGCTGTGCCATTGTTTCCTCGTGTGACATATACCTCAGTCTCCCTGATTGCAAGTGGATGGTAGGCATCTGCCCCAGAGACTTCATGTAAGGCTCGAGAGAGAAAGCACACGTGAGATGCTCGGGGCAACGTCGTACACACAGGAAGCAGCACGGACAGCAGCGCCTCCTGCAGTTCATTCCAGGAAGCCTCTGGACACAAACGTGTTTGAGGTGGATGTCTGGAAGGAAATGGTCGTGTGGCTGGAATTCACACTACTGTGTGTGGGCCTGGATTTCCTCGTTTGTGAAGGTGCTTTCAAACTTCTTGTAGTTATAGTGCTTCTTCAAATGAAATCTCAAGCAGCACCTTCCGTAGTGTGTAACATGGGTTGAATCCAAAGCCCCCAGTTGGAGCAGGAGTGGGGCCAGAAGCCTTCTACCTGCCCGGCCTCCCCAGCTCTCTCCGGTTTGGTCCCTCAGAGGAACCCTGCAGATCCCAGAAACCCATCTTGAAAGTCATATAATAGACTAGCTGTCAAATACCTCCAGCCACTAAGAAGTGCTTTTATTATACCATTCAAAGCTTGAAATGTCTGGGGGCAGCTGCCCTGTCCACTGTACAGCGTTAGTACTAGGGTGGTGCCTTGTATGTGTTGGGCACTCAGTGGGTTATGTGTTAATTGAAAGGATGCCTAGGGATTGGTTCTTTCAGGTAGGGAAGACCTCTTATGAGGGACAGTGGGACGTTACTGAAAGGCGGGTACTGTTGCCGAGCACTATTCCATGTCCTGTGCATGTCTGCCGTCCTTTAGTTGTCCCGGCTGTCCTGGGAGGTAGGTCCTGTTCCTGTCACTCTCCAGCTCATGAGTTACAGAGAGTTGAATTAGCTTGTCCAAGGCTACACAGCTGGAAGAGGCAGAGCTGGGAGAGAAAACCAGGCTGTCTGGCCCCAGAGGCCTTATTCCTAATTGTGATACTGGACTAGCTATACTCTGTGCCAGGCCCTGGGCTCGAAGCTTCACACACATTCTCTCCTGGCAACTTGTGGCCACACAGTCAGGAAGCGGAAGCGGCAGACTGGGACTTCCAACTCAGATCTGTGTTAAACCAAAGCTTGTGCTCCGAAGGACATCAACTCATATCAGAGATGTGTTTAAAAAGCAGTTTCCCAGGTCTGTTAGAGGATCAGGAATATGAAAATTAGATTCAGTCTCCCCATTAAGTGAACCCCATTATAATTGCTTGGAACTGTTGTTAACATCTGTTGAACTATCAGTGGGAGACTGTCATGGTCCTCTAGTTTCACTGCTAAGTGTAATTGAGTCCTTTGTCAGTGGGTGGTTTGGGAACGGGCTATGACTGAATAGGACATTCAGGAAACCAGAACAGCCCTACCGTTTTCACTCTTGTTACTATCCCAGTGGATGTGGCTAGACTAGTGCAGCTCTTGCCACTTCCAAGGGTCCGATAGTCTTTACAAAGCTTGTTTAAACTGAACCCTTCAGTTTCTGCCAACCACACCCACCCACCACCGGCACGGCTCCATCAGAGGCCGGTATGAAAGGGTGTGCACTTTCTTGGAATGCAGTACCATTGCTGGATCAGGGCACGTTCAGGTAACGGAATCCAGTGTCAGCTGGAAGCATGGCATTCCCTATGTAACTCGTAAAGCCAGTGGTACGACTTGCTGTGCAGAGGGCATTTTGGTGGCTGGTGTTGCCCTTCTGTGACTGTCATGTGACAGCTCATCTTTGCTTCCAAACCATGTTACGTTCTTATGTTAGAGGTTTGACTTACAAGGACAATTGCAGGTCGTCTTGGTCATGGGAGCAGACATGTAAGAACTACTTGTTTATCTATAAAATGACAGCTTCAGTACTTAGTAATTTTGAATTATAAACAGTATAGTACCTGGTTGAGGGCAAAGTTCAAAGCAATATAAACAACTAGATACAAGTTAGGTTCCTTCCTAAACAGTGGTTTCTGAGAACTGACAGTAAGAGCAAATAGCAGATTTGTCTCACGGTATGAGACACGGTATGAAGAGGCCCAGGTATCTAGGGGTTCAAGCCATTTAAAGGATTGCTTGGTGCTTTGTCACTCTGCTGGCGATGATGTCAGTGAAAAATGTCCTTTAAGAGCATTGTTCTAACCAGGGCTTCCTGATTCTGCTTAAGATATTTGTCTCTGTTTTTCTTACCCATGATCCCAGCACCCAACGTGTGTGTAAGGGTGTGTGTAGGAGTTGTGTAATTGGGTCAGGCTTATATTCAGAGAGGCTGTGGGGACTTAGGGGGATGGCCCTGGGGACTGTGGAGAATTTGCACTTGTGTGTCTAGAGCGAGTGCATTTATCAGTAGGAGCTGCAGTTTGAAGGTGAGCATATCTGTATGCATTTCATGGTGTGATGAGAGTTTTGTGTGTGTGCGCGGTTGGTGTATAATTCACATACCATAAAACTTACCACTTTAAAGTGTGCAATTCAGTGGTTTTTGGTATACTCACAAGGTTGTGCAATCATCACCATTATCTAATTCCAGAACATTCTCATCACCGCCCCCCAAAAAACCCCATGCTCATTAGCAGTCGGTCTTCATTCTCCCCCAGCCCCTGACAACCACTAATACACTTTCTGTCTCTATGGATTTGCCTATTCTGGACATTTCCTATAAGGGGAATCATGTAATATCAGTATCATGTTTTCAGAATTCATCTATGTTATAGCCTGTGTCAGTACCTCATCATTCTTTTTTATGGATGAATAGTATTTTTTTATATGGATACACCACATTTTATTTATCCATTGATCAATTGATGGACAGTGGGCTGTTTTCAGTTTTGCGCTATTATGAATGCTGCTGTGAAGGTACAAGTTACTTGTGCAAACGTGTTTTGAGAGGTAATCACTTTTTTTTTAGATTTTTTTTGGGGGGGTGTCGGGAGAGATAATTGGGTTTATTTGTTTCTTTTTAATGGAGGTACTGGGGATTGAATCCAGGACCTCATGCGTGCTAAGCACATGCTCTACCAATTGAGCTATAACCTCCCCCTCAGAGGAAATCACTTTTCATGTTTCAGTTGTGTCCATCACATACCTTCTTTGTGAACGTACGTATGGATTTACATATCAGTGTCTGTATTTTTACAGACGTGGAACTCTGGTGTGCATGTTGGTCTTTGGCGTGCTTTCCCCTGCTTGGCAGTGTATCTGTGGAGGTGTGGCTCGAGGTGGTCGTTATTCTGACGCGTTCCCCTCTGCTGTGGTGTGTCCGTAGTAATCCAGGGCTTCTTCACCTCGCAGGTCCCTATCACTGTTCAGTCCATCGTCTTTCGGTCTCTAAATAAAACGCTAACCCGACTAGAAGACACTGACGTATTGAGGCACGTTCTTGTCGAGACTAGGCAGGTACAAGTCTGCACTAACGTCGTTCTTGAGGTAGGCGCCCAGTGGGGCTCTGAAAGTTCTCTCTGTCTGTGGTTGACTCAGGCTGCGTGGTCCTGAGGGATAACCGGACGCCCTCCTCAGGGGGCTCTGGCCCATCCAGGGTGCTGCTTTTCTTGTCTTGACCTCCTGCTTGCCTTTATCCTGTCTCACCGGAGAAAGCCTCTTTGACTGTGAAATAATATGTGTTTTTTCTCCACAAATCTAGTGACTTACGAGAATACACCCAAATTTGTTGTTGTTGCTATTGTTTTAACATAATTATCTGCAGAGATGGGCTGACTACATTCTGTTCAGACCAGCTGATTTGGAACTTGTGTAACTGGGCACAGAGAGGCTCAGATGACCCTGCTGTCAGCCGGGGGTGATGCGGAGCTAACACCTCCCATGATCCGATTGGATGAGAGAGAAGAGCGTCAGCATCTCAACATGTAGAGAAATGGGAAGGGATTTGCCCCCATATATATTTTCTCTCTTTTTATATACAGCTACAGAAATGTGTTGGGAACAGGGGTCACTGAAGTATCATTTTGTTTTTAGGTAAAATACAGCCTCACATACACAGATGCAGGTGAAATAGTACAAGCTGCTCTCTCTCTCCTTCTGGGTGCAGTTAGCAGTGCAATGGTTCCACTGCAGCAGAAGTTTGAAATTTATTTTATTCAGGTAAGTTCGATCAGTTTTGTACAAGTATAGAACTGCTAAGTGTAAAGAAATCATGACTTAGTGAAAAAAAAATCTCAAGTTAGAAGTATTACCACATCTAACAGTTTGTACTGAACAAAGGGCTTGCATGTGGCATGCGGAGCTCGTAATGAAATCAGGCCAGAGAGTCTCTCCCATGTGAGCTTGTTCTTTTACAGCATGATGGACTCCTACGCTCAGTCGGTGTATTTATAGTTCTGAGTAGGGGGAGAAATTCTTCTAGTGGTTGGTGATCCCAGATTTTATTATGAAAAGCATTTCACTTTCCCTCTGCCATTTCCCTATTAAAGTGAGAATTACCTGGGGGCATTTCTGCCTTGTCTTTCAGCAAAATACAAAGCCGGTTCCTCTCAGTGGAAACCCTGGTTATGTTGTGGGGCTCCCATTAGCTGCCGGATTCCAGCCTCAGAAGGGATATCCTTTTTGGTTCTGTAGAGAGAGGCTTGCCTTCCCTGTCCACGCGTGTGGGCCACACTTCCCTCCGTTGCTGAGGGCCCTGAGGGCTGGGAGAGTCCAGTCTCCACCAGAGCTTCCTCTGGGTGGCTCTGGTGGGTGGTCACTGTGCCCGCACAGAAGTAGGGCTGCGTGGAGCCCGACTGGGTGAAACAGTGTGGCCCCAGGACTGCCAGTGTCTTCCAGTGAAAATCTTAAGACAGAAAAGTTGGCAGACATTTAGATGTATTTAATTTTGCACTTACATAGACACTTAAGCAAATTTAGTGATTTTGAAAACTTAGAATTAATTTTGAGGAGCCAGTTTCTGAGAATTCTTCTCAGCATCTTCTAATCAAGGAAAATAGTTATAACTATTTTTTGCCTTCTCTTATGAAATAACTGTCAAAATTCCAGAGGCCCAGGGAGGGGATACTTGTGTCTCAGTCCTGTCTCATGTCACACATGTGATATTATTTCCTAAGAATCAGCTGCCTCGGTGCTGGGCAACTCCCTTAACTTTCTCTGAATGTCTGGGATTATTCAGAGCACAAATAGATATGGACAACTGACGATTCTTCGTAGCACAACTGAGCAAGACTGCTTAGCAGTAGAGGGGATCCGGACCCCAGTGTTATTTGGTTACAATATGCAGTCTGGCTGTAAGCTCAGGTAAGAGAGTAACTTGTTTCTGTCCAAGCCTGCTTGTGTTGATCAGAAAACAAAACATTCATACCCCTCCCCGTTTTAACCAGACCTCTGCATCCGCTGACAGGCTTACTAGCATTATTATTAGTAGATAATAGCAGCAGTTAACGGTAACTTAGAATGATGTGGCTTTTGGTTTTCTAATTTTAATTCTCATAACCATAAACCGTTTGTCATGATCCAAAGGAAAACCGTTACAACCCTTTTACTTATCAGATACAGCAGAGTAAAACTCTCAAGGCTTTGTATGTTTCCTTTCTAAGGTGGTGGTAGCCCTTGAGTTCACAGCAAAAGATGTTTTCCCTGAAAGTCCTTCCTGTATTTCTGAATTTTAATATACTCAGCACAGCAAACTCAGCACAGAGAGGAAGCCTGAATGTGATCTCTGTTTTTAATTTATCTTTGTATCATCAAACATAGTGTAAAATGTCAAATGGCTCTGCTTGGCTTGTTATAAAAACAGTAGTTATTACTCTCTTTTCTCCCATCCCAGAGGCAATCACTTTCAACTCTAATAGCTGATTTTGGGGGAACTTTACCCCCAGATCTTGAAGTAACCCACATGTAAGGCTATTTCTTAATTTTTTGACTTACTGAGTTCCCACTATGAAAGGTGAAGATTTGGCTCTTTTCCCCTTCATCCCCGACCCCACCACCCACTCACCCCCATCCTTACATCTCCCCAGGGTATCTGCATCATTAGTTTGATTAGACCAATAGTCACCATTTACATTATTAGTTTCGATCACTTTAGACCTGCATTTCTAAGAAGTTTCCATGGAATACATTTCCGTAAGCTGGCGGCAGGGGTGTCCAGTATGTTGGGAAACACCAAATTAAAGTTAAAAACATGAGCCCTTACTGTGGGACTTCTCAGGCTCCTTAGCCTGCTGGTGTGTTTCAGGAGGGACATGGGTATGCAGTATTTCCCCAGTTTTTGGCCATGGAACCCTTCTTGTACGGAGCCTCTCAACGGAATACAGTTTGGGAAACACGGTTTTGGATTCATCTCCATGGCCAACCAGGATTTCACAAAGCGAGGGACACTTTAAATTCTATCAAATAATCTCCTTTTTGGAGAGTGAGAAGATAAACTGGAGAGAACATGCGTGTTGTTGAGACCTGTATAAACTGCAGGTGTGAACAATCGCCTTGTTCAATTGACTTCGTTTTCCTTCCTGAAAGACTGACCGGAGCTGTCACGTGTCGGCTGGTAGCACAGAAGGTGCAGAGCCTGCTGAAGGGCCAGGGCTTCCCCGATTACGTGGCCCCTTTTGGAAATTCCCGGGCCCAGGATGTGCTGGACTGGGTGCCCGTCCACTTCATCACCCGGACGTCCCACGTGAAGGTAGAGCGGGGTGGGGGCGGAGCTGAAGGCCACATGCTCGTGGTCTCTCCCTGTGTGCCTGCCCCTCCTCCCCCGGGGTGGGTGGGGGAGCAGCGGGTTGGGGGCTGTTGAGGAGGAGGAGCTGGGGCTTTCTTGCCCGGTGGGCCTGGATCTTGAATATTGATTCTGCCCCTTGTTAGCACTGTTGCCTTTGGCCCGGCGACCTATACGGGTTTGAGCCTCTGTTTCTTCATCTGGTACCTGTAGTTCCGACCTCAGGGCTTGTTGAGAGTTAAATGAGATGACATGCATGGTGCCTAGGGGTCACCCCATAAATGGGAACTGCTGCCAGTCACTGTCCTGCTCCTTTTTGGTGTCACACAAGGCTTTCTCCAGGCATCGTGATAGGCTAGGTGAGTGTGAGGACTGTCTCCACAGACGTCCTCCCCTCCACCCAGCTGTCCCATCCATTGTCCCCTGGTCGGTAGAAGCATCCCACACGTGAGCGCTGTCAAGTCTAAAGTTCCCAGAAGAGTCTAACGGAAGCTGACATCCTACAAATAGGTTCACGTGTGCTGCTCCTGCCCACCTTCTCCTTTTGTCTCAGCAGTCAGCGTGCGGGCCGCCCCTCACTGGAGGCGTGCTCTCCGGCTTATCCTCTAATTGCCCAGCTTTTTCTTGTCACAGTTCCTTCAGGCCTCTTATTATCTGCTTAGCATATTTATAGCCTGGGGACAATGGGGGTGAGGACTAGCTCACCAGCTCTGATCCCGCCCTCCCCACCGAGTCCCGGCAGAGACCCGTGATTACTCAGTCCCTACTGTTCAGCTGCCAAGTCTTGCCTCAGCTCTGCTGCCTCAGTGAACCAGGCAAATTGCTTCTGCTTCTCGGAGATGGGTTAAGACATCCAGTTATTACTTCCCGCTCAGAAGGGAAAATATAGGTTGATAGAAGGGCAGTGGTGCGTACATCAGCATTGCCGGGGTCTGTGCTGGTCCAGGGAGCTCCGGGGGCCTGGAGCGGGTTTTGTGCCGGCTTTTTAGGTGGAGCAGGCAAAGCAGCATCTGCTAACCTCAGCTTGTGCCAGCTGCATGTTGCATCTTCTCCTAATAACAGGATATTCTCAAGAATTTTTCAGCCTGTAAGTTTCTTAAAAGGCAGTTCAAAGCCAAGGAATTCCACCCATGCCTTTTTGGCAGGCACCAAATTTAGCAGGCCTGCTAGCTTTACATGTCCTGAAGAGGCTTATTTTTAAAAGCTTTTTATTTTTGAAAACTTTCATACATACACAGAAGTAGGATACTACAGTGGAATTCCATCTCCCCATTGTGCAGCTTCAACTTGGTCACATTTGCCAGCTGAAGACTCTAAAGGCAGGGAGGAGGTCTGGCAGGCCCCCTGGCCCGTTTTTCCCATGGGGCAGAGCCTCAGGCCTGGCTCCCAGTGTCCGGCCTGACTTTGGGCAGCTCCAGTGTGGAGCCAGTGCCATCAGTTCAGGTGGACAGTTAATATCTTGGACAGCTTCAGACCCTGCCTGTATACCCCAGTGTGACATCTTAATTGCCAGCTGATGGAATCAGATAAATGAAAAGAAAGCACTTAGATTTCCTATAAGTGTATTTTTAACGTGATATGCAGCCTGGTTTAATTTCTGTGTATTAATAACAGCATTCTCCCTCTCCACCTTCCCCCCCATGCCAGTTTCTCTTCTGAATTATCCTGGGGTAAATGTGAACAGGTGGGTGAAGTCAGAGTACTTAAAGCCCTGGAGGTTCCCACACCTCTCAGGTAACGCTGGCCTCTAGAAATAGGAGGAGATGGAAAATTATGCTTTAGGTGTTAAAATATTTTTTGAGCATTGAGTACTTTAAAACATGTGCTTTCTCTAAGCTGTTTTTATCTGAACTTTTGGAGTCTATTCATTCTCTTGTTCAGAACATTTTGTAATATGTGAAACATTTTATAATTAAAACTCTGAACTGCAGATTAAGTTTGACTTGAGGTTGTATAATACTCAAACTGATTAATGGCATTTTGTTTTGCAGGATTCTTGCCAGCTCCCAGTGGCTTTGGCTATAGAAGTGAAGTGGACTAAATACGGATCCTTATTGAACCCACAGGCTAAAATAGTCAATGTAACTGCAAATCTAATTTCATCCTCGTTTCCTGAGGTAGGCCTAACTTTATTTTTCTTTAAACAACTTTATCGTGGTATAATTTCTGTACAGTAAACCACGTATTTCAGATGTACAATTTGATGAATTTTGATAGATGTATATACACCTGTGAGCCACCACCAAGTCAAGATACCTAACATTTCTATCACTCCCCAAGAGGTGCAAATAGGCCTAACTTTAAAGGTGTGTACAGGTTAAGACACAAGTCCAGACATAAGTCAGTTGTGATAGGTGAGATTTACTGTTTTATAAAATTTAAACAATCTGCATTCTTAAAAACAATTTAGCAGTCATTATATTTTAGAGAAAAATAACTCCTCTGAACACAATGCTTTTATTCACATTAGCATTCTTGTTTAGATTTGATCTTTAAAATTCTTGTGAAGACTGAATTGTGATTGACATTGATGTGTTAGGACAACCTGAGTGAAAATTGTCTCTCTTCTGAGTTAACTTAGGCTGATTAACCCCCCTACGTAGTATCCACCAAGTCCATGAACTGCCAGCGGTTGGCTGAGGAAGGGATGAAAGCTTTGTCGTCCTGGTGACGCCCTAGGGGGCGGGGCTTTCAGCACTCTGGCTTTTCATTACAGACCAACTCAGGAAATGAAAGGACGATTCTTATTTCCACTGCGGTTACTTTTGTGGACGTGTCTGCACCTGCAGAGGCAGGCTTCAGAGCTCGGCCAGCCATCAACGCCAGGCTGCCCTTCAATTTCTTCTTCCCATTTGTTTGACGTAAGTCGTTAATTAAGGAAACAACACCACACCTGTAGAATCGAGCACGTGCAGAGCCCAGGGTCCCTTGGCGACATCCCACTTTATTATGCTTATAACCCTTGAGGTTGCCCCCAAGTCAGCACACTTCCCTTCTCCACTCACTTCCCTCTTTTCTCCTTTTGGAAATTTCATTCTACTTGGTTTGACTTCAGAAGGGGCGCCATCTGGCCTTGGTCATGTCCAGTACTCTCAACACACAGGTCGCAGTGTGGGACCAAACTGCGCATTTGGGAGGACAGTAAAGAGGACAGACCTTGAAGTAGCGAGGTGTTGAGGGTTTATCCAGTTTATTCACCCCCTGCTTTAATGTGAGTTTAAAATAAAATATTCATTGTTTTTAGTTCAGGTTTTCTTTCTTTTCAGGTCCCGTTGAATTGAGTACAAAAATAGCAACTTATTGTATAAAATCGTGCAAGTAGAGTACAAGGCCTCACGAGGGGATCTTCCCCAAAATGTCATAGTAATTACAGTGGAGCCTTGGGTCTAATTGCCACTTCTGTCCCAGGCACGGGAGTGCGCCTTCTTCCAGCGAGTGGGCTGGTGTGGGCTGCCACAGAGCAATTCCAGGCAGCTGAAGCTGGCAAGAGTAGTAGGAGGGCCCGAGGGAAGGAGACAGTTTATTTTACATGTTAATTGTACAGTAATTGAGAAAAATGTTGTCAGGTGGCAGAACTGGGTGGAGCCAGCTCAAAGCTGGAGGGTGCACAGGAGGGGGCTGGGCTCTGAGAACAACCTCCTTGGGGGGAATTGCAGTGAGACAGAACAACTTAGAAATATGAAAGACTTTTCTAGACTGGGCTGGTAGCTAAGGTAGCTTCCTTTTTTTTTTTTTTTGGTCTTTCAAAGTGTTCATGTGAAAGGATGCACTGGTTTCTCAATATACATGTAAAATGTGAAAACTGTACATTTGATGAGATTAAATTTTATATACAGCTCGTAATTGTCCAGCTTCGTTCATTTTCAAGCGAGAGTAAAGTGTTTAACACGAGAGAAGTAGAGTTTCTGATACGTTTGTTAGAGTGTGGGGTGGGAATGGGATGGGACAGTCTCAGTCACACCAAGGAAGAGCCTCTGAAAGACTGTGTCCCCCAGAACCCGAGCTGGGCGGCAGTGAGGCAAAGGCATCAAACCAGACGTCTCCCTGACACGGCCCCAGGAGAGGGGCTGTCCTTCTCATCGCAGGCACAGGCCCGTGAGGCAGGGTCTTCCCTTTTGGGTGGAGCAGGTAGGTGTCTAGTTCACCTCACCAAGAAGTCCATGCTGTCTCAACAGCTTGTTAAGTCTTTCAATTTCTTGTTCCTATTATTACAAAAGCAGATAAAATCTGAATTTACCTTCTGAGCTTCCTCAGGGATGTGGCAGTCATGCAGTGAGCCCCAGGTGTGCAGGAGACACAGCTGAATGAAAGCCACACTCCTCGTGGAATCAGCCCTCAGGGGTCCAGCGGACAGCAGTGAGGGGAGAGACCTAGAGGAGGGGCGCCCTGGCGAAGGTGCAGGGAGGGAAGTGGTGCCTGAGCGGAATCTGAAAGGAGGAGAAAGACCTGAGCAAGGGAAGGGGGCCCCGGGCTCAGGGCACCACATGAGCAGAGGCCTGGCGGGGAAAAGTGCCGAGCTGAAGGGAGGGCACAGTGTGTAAACAGACAGCATCTCCCAGCGTCTTCTTACCTTCTCAGAGCAACTGAATTCAAGGTGTTGGATCTTGGTGGCCAGTTGTAGATTCATCTGTTTTAACCTTAATAGTTGCCGTTCTGAACGTGTCTTAACCGAGATAATTATCCCTGAAAAATAACGGTGAGGGTCTCCATGATACTGGTGTCTAACTTAAGCATTGGAAAACAAATCTGTATTCTTTATAAATGTACACAGTCGGGAAGCGTGGTGACAAGTAGAACAGTCCCGGCCTGAAGGCCTCAGAATGAGGAGGGGCAGAGGTGCATTTCTGAGCTCCTCTTGTGCCCCAGTTGTGCAGTCCCTTCCTCTGGTCGCAGGGGCTGAGACATCCCTAAAAATAATCACCGACCAGATGAGCACTGAGCTCCTCAATACGGAGTTTGTTCACAGAATCGCTGCTTAGCAGCAGTTGTTCGAAAGGCAAGAAGTACAAGCCTGGAAATGCTCAAGCCTGGAGCTGGGGCTGGCACTTTCCCAACTCCCAGCCTCCAGGGCTGTGGCCATTTTAGTTGTCAGGCGATGGGGCAGGGGCGGGTCATCAGCCTCGTTTGATAGCTCCCAGGTGCCCACACCGCAGGGGGACACAGCCTCGAGGCTGCGCCACCGTGGGGCTGCTCCCTTCCCTCCCAAGTAAGAGTGACGGAGTCTTGACCCGTCACCCACACGTGCGGTGCCCACGAGGCCTGGCAGCAAGTCCCTGGTTGTCTCACTGAGTCCGGTTTGGCCTTGCGTTGCTTTTTCAGCCTCACTACTAACTTTGATAACAATGTGATAATGGGCACTAGCCATTTAGACAAAGAAAATGAACAAATCTTAGACTTCTGGTTTCACCTGCAAAAGCACATCTCACAAGTGTGATGGGAGACTACTGGGTGGTAACTGGTTCATGAGTCATTTATAATTACTGATGGTTTATCTCCCTCACATAACCTTTACACAGAGTATCTTTCTGTTAGATTAATGAAAAACATCAATCAGCATAGGTACCTTCAATATTATCTCAAAAGCTTCCTTTATTTCCTTCGACAGAACCCAAGTAAATGTTCTTAATAGGCTTTAATCACTAGATCTGAACTGGCCGTCCCTAAAGCCATCACAAGCCCACATGCCCACACAGAGCCACTCAGCCCCTTCACCTGCCAGGTGCCCGTCCAGCAGGTGGGGCTGCAGGGCACAGGCGGCTGCGACGGGACTCGCTGAGCCACTGAGAGAAGGAGCCGGTCAGGACAGGCCTGCCTCCTAACAACGGCCCACAGCCTGTTGTGCTGGGCCCCAGGCTAGGGGTTCCCAGATCTGGACGCCCAGATCACCTGAGAGTGTTTCACAGACAGACACCCGGGCTGGGCGCCACCCCAGACCTCCGCAGCGGACCCTCCACTTAAAAAACATGTCAAGGGCAGTTCTGATGCAGGAGGTCCACGGACAGGCATTTGAGCCACTCTGACTAGTTGACAGGCAGCTGAACAGCTACCCAGCTGGCGGTCGCTAGCTCCACGTAAAGTCACAGCACAAACAGCTTCTCTGAAACGGAGGCTCCCTGCACCAGCAGGGTGGGCGTGAGGAATCTGGACCTGAATAAGTAAAGAGGTACTTCCCCGAGCGTGTTCTCCAGGCCAGAGTCTACAGCACGTTAATAGGTGTCCAATTGGTCAGTTTGGAAAACAATGAACAGTTCTCAGAGCCTTCATCATGCTAACTTGTGCTGTAACCTTCTCAAAGTGGGCAGAATCTATGGTGAAGCACTTTTCAACCTCCCTGCTCTGCTCCCCTTTTGGATGGCGGCCCTCCTAGTGGGGGACGGGGTTGATTAGAACACTCCCCAGGAAACACTAAATTACAAACAAAGGTGTTCTGGGAACCAAGCCAGGAAGGACTGATCAGGGATTAGTCTAACCCTTTCCATAGCTATCTTTCAATAATCATGAAAATAGAGCCTAAAGGAGAGAGGTATTTCCTCTCCGAGCACATGTCCTGGTATCAGTTTGTAGCCACAGAGGTGGCAGTGGGACATGGAATCAGACCACTTCATGTTTTCTCTTGAGGGCCGCGAGGATGGGGCCGCCATGCCCACTCCCAGGCTCCACCCACTGTCCCATCCCCTCCACAGCTCAGGAGCACAGAGGACATACCATTGACGATCCGGGCCACCCGCCACAGCCGGAGCAGAATCAGCAGCCCGAGAGCCTCAAACGCGTGTTCCTGGAACAGGAGGACGATGTCGAGGATGAAGGAAACCACCACAACGATGGCGTCCAGGATTTCAAACTTGTGGTGAAAGAACTCCAAGCGGAAGACAAATATTTTAAAGGTGATTTCCATCATAAAAAAGGTCAAGATGGCAAGGCTCATGTAATGGAACACCTGAAAGGGACAAGGAGGCACCATGAGAGCAGACCCAGGCTGGTCGCACGGACGAGCTGGCTTTGAGTGCACCTGCCTGGCCACCAGAGAGAGAATCCATTCGTTTGACCCATCCCGAATTCCTGCCAGCACCAGGCGCTGTTCTCAGGCTGGGAACGCAGCTGGGAACAGCACTGACATTGCTCTCTGAAGGGCAGTGGGGCAAAGGCAGAATCAAAACATCCAGCACACCCTTTGGCCCAGCAGTTCCACTGCTAGGAATTTATCCTACAGCTAAGCTCACACGGGCACAAAGGATATTTACTGCAGCATCATTCGCAGAACAAAAGAGTTTCTACGTTGTTTGTAGAGCAATAAAAATGTCCATTAGACTAGGGCACTTGTTAAATGCGTTACGGTACCTCCACGTGTTGCGCTGCGCAGTTCAGAAGACTAGAAATGATCACCAAGGTGGATGGTAAGTGAAGAGAGTTCCCTGATCTTGATTTAAGAATGCTGATCTTCGCTAAAGTAACCATTTCCACTTTGGGACAAGGTAAGTACAAAGTAAGCTGGGACAAGATCCTGGGCTGGAAAGCAAGGAAATGCTCAAAGGCCATGGAGTCATGTCACAAGGACAAGGCAGTCAGCTCAAAGAGGCTCCCAGCGACCAGATTTGGGACAGTTTGAATAGCAAAGAGAATGACTATGATTGTAATACACTCAATACCAAAAAAGGAAATCCACGAGTCCACAGCGATACACACACTTGCACACACGGAACAAAAGGAACATGTTTTATAAACGAATACCGGCTACTAGATGTAGAAGGAAAGAAAGAATTAGAAATCACCAGCTTGCAGCCCCCTGTGTATTCACTGACTCACACAGTGATCATTAGTGGATGAAACGGGGGAAGAAGAAATTTGCATGATACTGAAGTGGCCCTGGGCAGATTATTTATAACTGCAAAGGGAAAAGAGCCCCTGGCCAGTGGAGCAGCTCAGCATTTAGTACCTTAACCAAGTGATCCACCAGAGTATCACTAGTAGTGGGCCCCTGGCCCAGTATGCCACCATACCGGGCCACGCACTGCCCTCTGGGTGGAGATCTGGGACAGCCTCAGGCAGTAACTGAATCAGGGAGTAAATGGTGGGCACATCCCCTAAAAGGCTCCAGCACAGGGACCACGTCAGAATGTTGACAGGAGAAACAGCTTGTCTTCCTGTTGAGATGGGAAGGTATCATTCTCCTGGGCGGACCCTCTCCCTAGAATCAGTGACACACGCCAGCTCTGCCATCTAAGACAGCTCAAGATTCAGGCCACTGAGTGACCAGAGGAGGTGTCCTGCTTGTAGTAAATGCGTGTCTATAACTGGGAAAGGAAGACGTTTGCTCCGCTCTGTGACTGAAAGCACCCAATGAAACTACTCTCAGATAAGGCCTGGTTACTCCAAGGCAGGTGCCGTCTGCCCCACTCTGCCCACCCTGAGTGCAGGTAACAGAAGTGAATTGTACAAAAGGGCCGCTGACACCCTACCCGGGCCGCATAGTTATTCCTGTCGGGCTGGATGATCTTCAGGTCCAGAACGAGCTCAGCGAGCACCAGGAGGGCGTCCAGAACCACCAGGCAGATGATGATAACCTGTGGACCAACGGAAGGAGCAAGAAATCATGAGACCTAAACAGGGATCCTCATTCCATCTTTAAGGGCTGGAGACATCTGAGTGAAACCACTGGGGAAAGATGCCAAGGATGGGAGGTCACTGCCCACAGCCCAAGCGCCTAGAAACCACGATGCTGAGTGAGAGAAGCCAAATGCAGAAGACCACGTATATGATCCCATTTATATGAAATGTCCAGAATAGGCAAATCTACAGAGGCAGAAAGATTAGTGTCTGTCGACAGCTGGGGCACTGGGGGTTAATAGTTTAACAGGTACCGGATCTCCTGTTGCAGTGACAGAAGTGTTCTGGAACTAGACAGTGGTGATGGTTACACAACACTGTGAATGTACTAAATGCCACTGGATTATTCACCTTAAATGATTATGGTATGTGAATCTTGCCTCAATTTAAAAAAGTGAGAGACCCAAAGTCACAAAACTACAATGCCACAGTCCTAGCCCTGGCCTCTGTGACTGAATCCCTCAGGCCCTGAACTTGCCACTCCACAAGGCAGCAGCAGTTCTGAGGGGAGCCACATCACAGAGGAAAATGCTGAGAATTCGAGAGAGCTGGTTAATTCCAAATCCTCTCCTGGAAGACGGCCGTGCTGTGCAGCAGATACAGTGGCTCCGGTCCTGGGCCGGCTCCTGGCTCCCCCATTAGCCTGGACCTTGGGCCCCGCTCTCGATAGTGCTGAGCCTCGGCGTTAACTCTGAGCTTCGGTGTCCTTCCGGGGAAAACAGGGTTGGCTGCATTTTGCACCCCAGAGTGACAGTGGGAGCATCACATGAGACGACGTGTGAGGAGTGCTTAGCACAGGGCCCAGGCACAGTGAGCAGGTAATAAAAGCGAGGTCCTGACCTTCGTGGTTATCCTCCGCTGGCCCAGCTACCCTGTCCAGCCGTGGTTTCCACAGAGGCCTGACTCACCCCAAGTTCTCTCTCTAGGTTGGCTGTACCATCCCATGTGAGAAGTGACAATGACAGCAGTTAACTATATATATATATATCATGTCACTTTGGCCACCCTGAACCATGGGAATAGGTGGAAACTGCATCCAAGAAGGGGATTCCAGAATCTTCCTGTATGCTGATTATATTGGCAGAGATCAAACCCCTGAACCCTTGTCCCCTATTCCAAAGTGGTGTCCCTACTTCCACTCTGAGCCCCTCAACAAATCTGGTCGTGTCACCCCATCCCCATCCCCAATCAGAACCTTCGATGGCTGCCCACTGCCCGCTGCCCACAGACAGACTTTCAGTGCCTCCTCTCCCTCTACTGGATACACACAAGCCACGTGGACCCTTCTCAATTCCTCCCTCCGGCCCTCTGCAAACATGGCCTCTCTGCCTGGGAAGCGCCTCCCCTGCATCCACAGAGTTCACTCCTGCCCAGCCTTCAGGTGTCAGGTCAAATGTCACCTCCCGACCCTAGATCAGGTCTCCCCCAGCCCCTGGGATCTCTCAGAGCCCCCTAACTTTGTTCCCCTGCAGAGAGCTTCTCTCCTCTTGTAACCAGCCTCTGTCTGATTTCTGGAAGGCCCGCCTCTCTGCAGAGCATCAAGTGAGGGCAGGGACGTGTCCACCATGCCTGGTGCTGTACCCCCGGCCCCTAGGAGGTGCTAAGACGGGATTGTTGAGTGAATGAATAAACAAACATCTCTACTCTGCTTTCCCCCAAGCCACGTGGCCTGGTGGGCCCAGTCAGGAGGGGGGCCTTCCGAGGGCTCCCCTTGCAGCTGGAAGAAAGCTAGCTCCTTCCTTCTGCTCCTGAAATTGAGGGTTTGGGATTTCAACCTCAACAACTTAATACCACGTTTCCTCTCCTGTCAGAGCCACAGAGGAAAGCTCCGAGCTGCCAGCAGTGCTGGGTTGTCTGGCCTGCTTTGTTGTCTAAGCCACACGAGAGCACAAAAACAAAACAAAACAAAATAATTTCCTTTTCTTCTATTTTACCCTGGAACAAAGTCAGTGATGAGAGAGGCAAGGGGTGCTTCTCTGCTTCCAGAAGGGCCATCGGCTCTTGGGAGGGACCAGGTTATTGTGGCCGAGGACGACACGTGCAGCAGGGGCCCCGAGTGGCGCTGTGCAGGGCCTGGGCTGATGCGGAGCTGCGTGCTTGCTTAATCTCCCCGAGCCTCGGAACGTGCTTGCAGACACCTGCTGGCCCACCTCGGGGCCGCGAGTGGGGCTCAGACGGGGCTGGCCAGACTCAGCCTGCATCTGTCCTTCAAAGTGGGACGATGCTGGGGGCGACAATGAACCCTGCAGCAAGTCCCAGTCCCTTTGCTGCTATTTCAAGCCTGCGCCTCCCCTCATGTTCTCCCCACAACCACACCTGGAGGTTAAGCCAGGCAGATATTTTTGGCCTCACTTCACAAAATGAGAGACTGGAGCACCCTGTCTGTGAGGCATGGGACCCTCTTAGCCAGGCCCTGAGTGTTTGCTGAATGCATGCAGGAATGTTTTATCTGCCTCCAATGCTTACCCTTTAATTTACTTTGTGTGTGTGGTAAAATTGGTATAACATTTACCATTTTAACTATTCTAAAATTGGTATAAACTTCAGTGGCATTAAGCACATTCACAAAGTTGCACAACCATCACCACTATATAGTTCTAGAAAATTGTCATTACCCTACATGGAAGCTCGGTACCCATCAGGCAGTCACCCCCTTCCTCCCTCCCTCCAGCCTGTGGTAACCACCAGTCTGCTGTCTCCGTGGATTTGTGTATTCTAGACATTTCATATAATTGGATTATAAGATGGGTGGCCGTTTGTGTCTGGCTTCCTACACTCAGCATGACGTCGTCAAGGTTCATCCACCTTGTAGCCCGTGTCAGTGCTTCCTTCCTTTTCGTGGCTGAGTTTGGAGAGATCACGTTTTGTTTATCCATTCATCAGGTGATGAACCCCTGACTTTTGGATTAGCACTTATTTCACCCCTGATGACACAGGACCCGCCCGCCATGCCCAATGGTGTATGGGGCGCGGGGGCGCGTGGCGAGTGAATGAGGTGGTGGCGGAGGTGGCCCCACCCAGCCTCGTGACTCTTGGCTGACAGCTCTGCCCCACCCCGGGCATCTCCGGCCTCTGCCCACCTACCTGAAACCTGTGGGCGCTAAAGAGCTTCCTCAAAGTGGTCCTGAAGTCTAGGCGGGGCCTGGGCGTGGGGACAGGGGTGGCAGCCGGGTCAGCAGCTCTGCCCTCCTCGCTTGCCGCCGCCGGCGCTGAAGGCGGCTGCTCCTCCTCGTCCTCCTCGTCCTCTTCATTCTCCCACTTCGTGTAGTTGATGTTCCAGGCATGGTAGTCGTCCCCGACGACGGTGAAGTGCTTCAGGAACTTGCTCATCCTCTCAGCGGGAGGCACCCTGGCCCTGCGGGTGACGGCCTGAAGGGAGGGGACAGAGAACGAGCGCTCAGGCGGGACCACTGGGACCTCACGTCACTCTGATGGGGAGCGGGGCCCTCCCACCCTGGGCCACGGGGGGGATGGGGGGGAAGACAGTCCCAGCACTCAGAGCACTGTGCAAGCAGACCGTGAGGTCACAGTGGTTTCTTGCGAGTGTATTTTTGGAATCCAGGGTCTCGGGGCTGGTGAGGCAACAGGAAACCCCAGACTCCATCAGGCCTATCACTGCGGTCTGACTGGCAGTCACCAACAAAAGAGGTACTGCAGCCCCGTCGCAAAATACCCACCACAGGCCCACGTGTAAATGCCGGAAGCGAGGCTCATGGTTCAGAGACATCACTACCTAAAAACCCCGAGGTGAGAGTTGGTAGGGTGGGGAGAGGGAAAAGGCAAAAGTAAAAGTACCAGGGTTTCACAGAAAAGTGAAGACCCGCCACCCCGCTTTCACGTCACAGATCAGTCCTTGAAAGGTGAGCGCCAAGTGGATTTTTCCTACATTCTGCCAGTGCTGTTTTAAATATATTCAGGACAGTTGTTTAAAGACCAATAACTTCAAAGCAAAAAAGCTAGTAATCCATCCTGCCCACCCCTCTTTGCTCAATTTATCCTACCAGACATCAGTTTAGAAAGTTCAATAATGAAAACTTTCAGGAATGGGGACAAGAATAGGCAGTATGATCAGTGTGACAGGAAAAGAGAGCCCAAAACAGACCCAGGACCCTGTGGGAACCTGGATGTGATGATGATGACAGTCCAGGTCAGTGGAGAAAGGCTGGAGAGGTTAGAACATCTGGCTTTTCCAACAAGGGAAGAAGAAAAGGATTCCTATCTCATAACACACACAGAATACATTTCAGTGGCATTAACCTATATAAACGTGTTTTTAAAAACTTTAAACGTCTTAGAATAAAATACAGACAAGTATTCTCATGACCTCAGAACTGGGAAAGAGTGCTTAAACAAGACACAACACATAGAAGAAATAGATAGAGTTAACTCATCAAAGCCAAAAAATCTCTCACTCTGTCTTACACACACACACACACACACACAAAGTTAAGACACACCACAGACTGGAAAGTAAATATTTGTGATATTATTTAATAGACAAAGATTTAGTGTCTAGCACATATAAAGAAACCCTACCAGAAAAGGACAACTCCACAGAAAATTAGGTAATGAATATTAACAGGCAGGTCATATGAGAGGAAACCCAAATGGCTAAGACACTCAACTTCACTAATATTCAGGAAAATGTGAATTGAAGTAACAATTACACACCTTTTCATTCCTGAGATTGGCAATAATTTTAAAGTCTATAAAAGCAAATATTGGTGAAGATGTGAAGCAATGGGGGCCTTTTAAACCCTGAAGACAGGAATAGACACTGGCACCACCATTTGTGGAAGCACTCTGGCATTGTTCTGTCAAGTTGAAGTTGTGCATATCAATAATCTAGTAATTTCACCCTGGACAGGCCTCAAAGAGAAACTCTCTGCATGTGCTCAAATCAGTGGCATTTTAAGAATGTTTACTGCAAATGTTCACCTAAATGGTAGGAGAGAGAGGAATGAATTTTCTCTATTTGTGTGATGGAATACTATACAGCAGGTAACACAAATTAACAAAGTCTCTATATAATCACTGACAACACCCAAGTGTACCCTCTAGCAGTACTGAACACAGTAGATCACTCCCTTTCTTCAAAATCTTCCTTCATTGGCTTCTAGGATTCCACAGACTTCTGGTTTTCCTCCTACCTCAATGGCTGCAAAATGTTACCATATACTGTTTTTGGAATGTGAGCATACATATATAAAAGAATGAGATTTCTGCTTCTCACCGTGAGAGAGTAACTTTATTAGTATAAAAAACTATTTCAGTTAGAGCAACTGCCATAAAACCAACGATACCAGTTACAGTAACTTCCATAAAACTGGATAAAATATTTGAAATTTACTGTGATCCCTGAGAGAAGAGAAACAGATAAGGTGGGCCCCACAATCACCCTGGCTTTCTGCCTGGAGGTACTTTCTGGACTGTGGAGGCAAAGATGATAGTTCAGGGCTACTGAACCTCCCTTCCTCGGGAATTTGCACGGCAAGGTACCAGAGAAAAGGAAGCATTGCCAAGAAAGAACTCCAAAAATCGGACTTTGGCTGAGTCCTAAACTTCTCATGTGCAGAGCAAGAATCCATGAGGCAAAGCAAAATATAACTTTCAGGGAGAAAACAAAAACAAAAAAGCAAAACTCTACTCTTGCGGAACTGTGAGCTGAACTGCCAGAGATTATGCAGGGCTGGGTTGGGAGGCCTGTAAATTCCAAATAGCTAGAGTAAAGCAATCTCACTGAACACGCTGAGCATTAGCAGCAAGTCCAGAAAAGTCACGCCTTATAAGCAGACCTACTTTAGCCCTCCAGTCAGGATTACCTTAGACTTGTCCCAACTAAGCTCAAAAATGAGACTTTTAAAAAAGATCAAGATAATCTCAAAGTAAATTAAACTCCTGTTGGAACAAAACTCAATTCTCCATTGGAGAAGACAGCAAAATACCCTAAACAACATAAAATTCATAATGTCCAGCATGTGATAAAAAAAAATTACTAGACAGATAAGTAAGCAAAATAATGTGGCCATAGCCAGTAGAAAAATCAGCTTATGAGCTCAAAACAGAGAGAGATAATGGAATTGGCCAACAAAGACTTGAAAATAGCTATTACAAATATGTTCAAGGATTTCAAGGAAAACATGAACTTAATGAGGGAACAAATGGAGAATCTCAATAGAGAAATGGCGGCTATAAAAAATACCCAAATGGATACTCAAGAATTGAAAAATACACACATGAGATGAAAAATCACTAGATGGGCTTAACGGCTGATTAGATGCTGCAGGATAAAAGATTGGTGAACTTAAAGATGAAAAAGAGACAATATCCAGTGGAAGCATGGAGAGGAAAAAGGCTGGGGGCCGGAGAAGGAACAGAGCCTTAGGGACAATGTTAGTGGCCTAATACACATGTACCTGGAAAGCCAAAAGGAGATGAGAGATTAGAGAAAATATTTGGAGAAATAATGGCTGGAAAAAATTTCCAAATTTGATGGAAAAATATACACATGTAGATCTAAGAGTCTGTGTCCCAGAGTATCATGTGCCACCTGACCTAGAGCAGAAGCCTGTCAAGTGCCTGATGGCTGAGAGCACTGGTGCCCTGTCTCCTGGGCCAGCCCCCCAATTACTGGGCTCCCAGGGCCAGGCCCGCAGCTAACCTGAAGCTCTCTGGGTGCTACGGGCCTCACCTGGCAGATGGAAACCTCCTGTACTAGTTCTTAGCATGGTAGAGCCTCAGGGTGCTTTGCAAAAACCACATTCACATTTTACACAAAAAAGGAAATTTTCTTTTTAAAACTTTGGGTCCAGTAAAGAAGCAACTTTCAGTAGTTTGGGATGAAAATATTTATGGCACCCAGCAGAGCAGAAAACAACTCTGGTTTTAAGTCAAGAATCTGTCATGCCGGAAGCAGATGAGTTCCAGAAAGGGGCAAAGATAGAGCTGATCATGAAAATGTTGTGGGCCTTGGCAACTTTACCACCCAGCCTGGACTCTCAGCTCTCAGGACCACCCCACCCTGCCTGGGTGGACTGAAGGGCTGACTCCGTGAGTTACCTGGGGCACCAGCCTCGGAGCCTGGCCTGGAGCAGCCCCTCTGTAAGCACCGGCTGGTATTATTTCTCAACAACAAAAATCCTCACCTCCACTCCTCCGACCCCATCGCCGTCTGTGGGTACTTCACACTTCTCTGGTTACTGGCCCGCTGCTGGCCTCTACAAGCCCAGACTATTAAGTGACAGGGACTGATAGATGCCCTTTGTGCCTGAAGCTAGATGGAGCTGTTTCTGTTCCTTGTGAACTGGAGACTCTAGAGTCCCATCTCTCCATTCACCCCCCCACCCCCCCACCCCTGTCTCCATCTCTGCTGCAGTAACCCTTGCTGTCCCACTACATCCTGTCACTGCTCTCTCTGGGGTCACCTTTCCGTACCAAACCCCAGGACTGCAGTTCCCACCTGGACTGTACTGCATCCTCTCACACCGCAGACTTGGTTCTTGGTTTTTCTCCCCTCTCTGGCCGCCCTTCCTGTCCCATGTCCCTGCCCCCATGCCATGTGGAGTCCGCGAGTCCCCAGCCCTGAGCTTCTCTTGGCACAGGGCGACTCTTTCCCTTTGGTGGTCCCTGCACACGTGTGTTCTTGATGCTGCTCAGTGCGAATCAGTCTCCAGCCTGCTGTCTGATAGCCTGCCAGGCCATTAGTTTGCTGTGACCCAAAATGAACTAATTTCTTATCTTTTCCCCTAAATCCACTCCTCCTTCCATGTTCCCCTAGGGCACTGGCATCATATCCACTCGGCTGCCCAAGAACTACAGCTCATCCTTGGCTCCTCTCTCTTCCTCAAGCCTGTCAATCTCACTTCCTAAATATCACTCATACTGCACCGTCTCTTCTCTGTCTGACTCCCTCCTACCACTGTCACCTCTTGCAAGGACGCCAGCACCAGCCTCTGAGCTTTCCTCCACCTGGCGGTGGCCAGGGTCTCCTTTCTGCAGGGCTGGTCTGGCTGAGTCCCTGCTCTCGCCCACTCTCCCCTTCCCATTACCTTCAGTATCCCCCACCCTCACCCCCTGCCAGCCACTGCCTTCAGGACAAAGTCCAAGCTCGCTCAGTCTCCCCAGGCCCTGGTCTCCTCCCCCAGCCTCTGCCCGCCACACTCCAGTTACAACTGCACTGGGGTTCTAGAACCAGCTGCGCTCTCTCTTGCTTCCAGGACTTTGCCGGCCTGTCCCCACTGCCTGGAATACCCTTCCTGATCTCACCCGCGTGCTCCTTCCGGTCTTACAGACACCTAGATTTTACCTCCCCTGGGAGGCCGCCCGCTGGTGAGGGCGCTTCCTCTCTCCCCATCGAGCCACTCGCTAAC